ATCAGCTGCCTTGTTTGATGTCCTGAAATATTAATTTTTTTCAATCATGATTCTTTGAAAAAAACAGAAATTGTAGGAAACTCTTTAGGGTGTTTGATATATTTTCTTATATAATGCAGTGGCTAGACACAGTATAATAACAATTATAATGAAAATCCTCAAAATAATTTTGTTTCTTTTCCAAAAATAGAAACAAAAAAATCTTTCACTTGAGTACAAAAAACTTATAGCCCAGATAGAGAATGTAATTTGAGACAGTAAGAAACTGGCTTGAACTTTGGCCCAAAATAGCAAAAATTGAGAGGTATGGTCTTGAACACTGAACATGGACAATCCTTGACTACAATGATTCCATAACCAATGTGGTTATGGAAGCATGGTAGTCAAGGATTGTCCTTGTCTAATTTTGGCTATGAATGTAAAATTTTGCCATACAAAAGTGAAAAACTCTGATACTTATCTGAATCTTCTCTCAGAGTACTTTGCATATTTTCATGGTTTCAAGGGGAGTCTTAAATAGAAATTACAATAATGTCACATATGTGGCAATGTTCTTTCACTTTCTACTCTATTCCCTCCTCCCAGATAAACTGCAATAAAAGATCTGAGATAAATTGTCATAGCTTTGGTCTGTTGATTCAGTGTTGAGATCGTTACTGTGTAATTCCAAGTAGATAATTACAATCCACAGATGACAGGCAGAACAGCATTTTCGACTTAGACCTAGACATTGAAATCATAACTTGAAGAATTCCTATAAATTTTTAGTCATTTGACCTCAAGCAAAGCAAAAGATCTCCTAAGACACGGGGGGGGGGGTGGATTAGTGAGTGTGAAACGATATAAGAAAAATGAAAAAAAACATTAAGGAACAAGAACAATAAAAGAACAGGAATTCAAACAGAAGATAATGGTTGACATTGCATTTAAGATTTTGAAACTTAAGTTTACTGGAAAGCAAGAAGCCAGAAGTGAGTTCCACAAGTGAGAAGTGCGAGGGAAGAAACTGTTAACATAGAACTTATGGTTACATCTAGCTAAAAGATTACACCTAACCATTTCAACAGTAAAATGATGAGACTCTTGCCAAGTTAGTACAGCACTTAAATTCATAAAATCTAGGTAACATCTGCTGAACAATTACCATGAAAATATGTATAGAAAAAGTACAGGGAAGTTATGTTACAGTGGTGAGAAGGTGACTGAAGCTGAGATGCCAGGTCAGGACCAATAGAATTGCAAATTCTTCTATGGATTTTATCAAGGCTATCTAAATATATATCAGGAACACCAGACCATATATGGCAGCAATATTCAAAGCATGGAGGAACGGTAGTCTTATAAATATGTAAGATTCAGGCTATAAATATTACCCAGCATGAAATAGTAGACCAACTTTAATAGCAGCAGATATATTAATTGATTCAATATAATTGTTTCACTTCAGAAAACATTAGCATTATAAAAGACACAAAGAGTCAATCTCCTGGAGGCTAGAATCAGCCATGCACATAGAAGACAGAAAGGGTTTTCAGATGATTAATAGAGTGAAGTTTAATTTTCAAAGCTTCAAAATTAACAAGCGATTCCTTGCTTCTATTAACAACAGAATGTTGGTCATTTTTTTAGACCAGCTGCCAATTTGATCTTATCGAATTGATGAGATAAAAGCATATGAAGATGAAAACAACGTGCACCAATTATCATGGAGATTCTGTGAAGTATACCAAATGTGACTCAAATATGGCAGAAATATTGTGATAAAGACTGGCACAAAAGAATGTACATCACAACTCTACAGGGTAGAATACAGAGATATTGTGATAGACAATGAAACAAGCAAGACATTAACAGCTTATCTCTGAAATTAAGAAAGAACAAATGTCAGAAGTTACATTACTGGAACTTAGAGATATATACAAAAAAAATAAAAGAAATTTATGAAGCTAATTTTACTTCACAGTATTAAAACTCTCCAGAAGATATACAAAAGCAGCTAATAAACAACTTTTTTTAATGAAGACTAAATGAGAGGGAATAGGATTAAAAAAGAATCATTAAATAATAATAAGAAATATCCATATAAGGAAAGACTTTATAAGAGTTTATAATAGTGTATTATTCAAATTGTTGTTTACATAAGATGACTTTTTTCTCTCTCCATTGATTGTTTGTTCTTGATTAACCATATCTGCAGGCTATGAAAAGAAAGAACACTTGTATATGAAATTGTTGAATGCCATTGGCAAAAATTGCTGTTTTTTAAGATAACAGAGCAGATACAGGTTGTCTGCTGCAAAAGTGTCTTCGCCTTTAAGCAAGCTTGCATTTTGATCCTCTAAATACAGTACTGTTACACATTCCATTCACTGTGAGATAATATGTATCTATGGATGAATATATATATATATATATATATATATATATATATATATATATATAGATGTGTGTAGAGTGTATGTGTGTGTGCGTATATATATATCTAGTAATAATACAAATCAATAACATCAATCAAAATATATCAAATTACAAGAATAATATGTATTTCGAGCTGAGGAGAATTTTTATCAAGAAAGTGCTCAATAAGAATTAAACCGACAATATTCAATAAATTAATAAATATTCAATCAACTATATGAATATCCACAAGCTAAATATAAAGTATACTATTATATTCTCTCTTTATCTCTCATATATATATATATATATATATATAAAATCAATTTCATGTATCATGTGACCCCCCCCAATTTTTTTTTTTTTTGCATTAATTTTACCCCAGAAACCAAAAATTACCTAAAATTATTAGTGCAGTCACTTACCAAAAATGCATGATTTTTAACCTCTTCAAAAAAAACTGTGTTAGTTCGACCCCCTAGTTTTTGCATAAAAACTCACACTATACTCGAGAATATATAGTGTGTGTATATATATATATATATATATATATATATATATATATATATATATGTTTCAAGACTATATAGTGTGTTTGTATGTGTGTGTGTGTATATATATATATATATATTAACTCAATTGATTTATCTCTTGAGCATTTTCAAAGTTTTCAGAACACTGCTCATCATGATTAGAGATGCGTGAAACTGAAGGCAATTGAACTTTTATTAATTTATTAAATATACATACATATAGATATTAAGGATGAGTGTATTATAGCATAGTTTTTATTTATTGTATGCATGTGTGCATATTTTCATATGATATATAGTTATAGTATATGTATATATGTATCTATACAATATGTTTGAACATTTGGCCAGGTGGTTAAAATGTCATTGTTGTGGCCATGGGACCTGGGTTCAAATCTCACCTTGAGGAGGTAATTTCAGAGTGTGGCAAGTGCCTCGAAAACCATACCTCAAGTTGACCCAAGCCATGTGAGTGAAATTTAGTCAAGGAAACTATTTTGAACCCATCCATGATTGTGCCTGCAGGAAATCATAATTCAGCATGATTGAGGATTTGAGTGTATTGGTGTTGTTTAACTGTTGATCAGGCCAACTTATGTGCGTGTCTCTCTCTCTCTTAGAAATTGTAACTAAGATGCACTCAGTATAACTGTAGTATAAATTGCAGTTTGGGTCTGAGAGTGTTAAAAAAACACAAATGTACCTGAGCATCTGTCTGAAGCAGAGATTAGCTTGCCACTTTAACAGAACGATGTGCAAGAAATGAGATGCTGGCAGTTATATTTTTACTATAGTAAAATATCAAATGCTCCATGCCAAAAGATAGAGCTTTGTTTGACACACAATTAATGAAAAAGCTAATATTTCTGTATACTACTTCTATAATACTGAATTACATGTGGTTAGCAATTGTATTTCATTGATCCTTTTTCTGCATTTATTTGTGTCTTAAGAAGGTTTCCCATATTTTTCTGTATTATTGAAAGTGGAATCAAGTTTTTTTTTGTTATAGTTTTATTTAAAATAACAAACATATTAGACTTGTCACTTTTTCTAATTATAATATTTTGTTTTTCTTTAAGTCCCTTAATTCTTAGTTTTACTAACACACTCTTTTAAACAATCAGAAATTCAAAGAGCTATACGTCCAAAGAGCCGAAAATACACTCAACCTGCTTACATCAACTTGTTCATTGCCACTGACTTTATATATGTTCTAAAGACAGATACACTATTTTGTAGGCAGCACATCTGAGTTATTCCATCAACCATTTCCTGTTATAAACTGTGAAATGAGTCTGTCCTGGTTTCTCTTTGTATCATGGAGCTGATGGCATCGACAGGTGCATGCCTCAGTCGTTTTTTAAGCCAAGTGAATTTCTTCTGCACACAATGCTTCTCCTTAGATACTTATTGCTATCTTTTATATACACAAACACATACAAAACTAATGAAGGATTCATAGAAATATTTGCACTATGCAGGATATTTCCCATAATAAGAATAAATTAGAACAAATTACATGTTAGTCTTATAATGTAGTTTTATAAAGTTTACCAGTTTTTAAGTTTCATTTAAAAAGCTAGGTTAATGAAACTGAAAGAGACATTATGTTGTAATTACATTATAATTACAGAATAGGCACAAAGTTTACAAAACAAATATTTTGAACAAAGACTAAAATCCAGTTTCACTGTAATGATGATAAAGTTAAAAAGGTAACATTAATATAAAATATATGCTCCATATTACAAAACAAGTTTCAGAAGTCTATTGATTTTGTAAGCTGTTTTCTTTCTTCATACAAAACAGACAGCACAGCACCTCAAATAGCTTTCCAAAGTTGATCTTTGCTGGTAAACTGCTGTCTGCCAATGTAAAAAAATCTTCAGAATGCTTTACAAGTTTTCAGTTGAGGTTAAGATCAAGTGAATGAACCAGACTTTTAATCAATTATCATTTAAAACAAATTCAGATTTTCACTAGTTTTCTTCATGAAATGTGATGGAGCATTGTCATTGATAAAATAATCTTTCTGAAAGTATTTGGTTTCTTCTTGAGCCTGGCTTCTGGCCACATCATATTTAAACACCAGTACTCATATGATCACTGAAGTTAAGCAACATCAAGCCTGGTCAGTACCTAGATGGCTGATTGCTTAGGATTACCAGGTGCTGTGAGCTTGGATGCATGTGTCATGTAATGGATAAGTCTTGGTATTGGAAAGTTCCAGTTCCAGTCAGGTTCATTACATTCACTTACGCACAAATAACTTTGAGAAAGATATGAATCCACCTCTTCTCCTCACAGCTATGGGTTCATTAGTAGCACTTGTATAATTAAATTACTGCCACATCACTGCCATTGTTCTTTTTTTTAATCATTATTATCTCCAAATAATACTTAAAATCTAAAACTATTTTCTGGCTTCAAAATAGCTTGCAAAAGGTTGATAAGCCATAAAAACTAAATCAATGTATCTTCTTGAGCCATAGTTCCACATTGACTATCAAAATACAGAGTGCAATGAGTAAATTGTCGCCATTTTATATTTTTAATTCTGCACATGTGCATTGTTTTTTATTTTGTCAACTGCATAGTATAGTAGGGTCAGTTGGGCACCATCTGTGAGAAAAAAGCACCATGACGCAATTCACTCTGCCAGAAATTTGGAAGCAGCATACTGTACTGCTTGACATTCATGCTGGAAGCTCCAATAGGAACATTTAAAAGTGTTTGGGTGTCAGTATAGGGGCAGTACAGAGGATTCGGAAAGAGTTGGATAAGTCTAATGGTGATTACGAAGGTGTTTGGAGTGATCACTTGTGATGGTGATGTTATGCCACCATTCATCTCCCCACAGTGCTCCAAACTCAACATGGAGGCCTATATCAAGTGCCTTACGGAGGTAATGCTGCCCCAGGCCAAGAGGGTGGCTGCTGGAAGGACTCTGCACTATGCCACACAAGCAGGAGTACCCAGTCATGGCTGTCAGGCAATTTCTGTGACTGTATCACCTCTTACATCTTGCCACCTAACTTTCCATACTGCAACCTCCTTGATTATTAAGTGTGAGGCACAGTTGAACGAGAGACCAGCAAAACTTCTTGTAACACCAAAGCTGAACTGAAGGCAAGGATTATAGCAGCATTCACCAACTTAAACAAGGAGACCATCCAGAAGAGTTGCAGGAGATTCCAAAGTCGTCTTGAGGCTGTGGTTGAAGCCAATGGCAATTTTATTGAATAAATTGACTCTTTAGTATTTCAAGATGTTTTTGTGTAATTTTGGTAAATATATCTGTTAAAATGAGATATCAGTGTTATTTTCATTTTCACATCATTTAGATGACAATTTATCCATCACACCTTGTATGTCAATGTATGTTTGTCATCTTAACACCATCTGCTTCTCACTATAGGATTGCCACTTCACTGTCATTGTTTTTGCCAATCTAGTAGAAAGCTTCAGTGCATATTGCCAAGGTACCAAAGAGGAAAGATCATTAGAACAATTACCAAGAAGTTACATTACAATATTAGGAAAGTGACTGAAGCTGAGGTGTCAGATCAAGACCAATAACAGTGCAAATTCTTTGTAAATTGTATTTTATCAAGAATCTAAATACATAGCAGAAACAGCAAACTATATGTAGCAGCAATGTTTGATACATGGAGGAATGGTTGACTTATAAATGTGTAAAATAGATTCTGGTGAGATCAAATAAAATGTCTCTGATGTTGTAGTTTTTACCAAGGTTAACTTTTTCCCTACAAATGCAAATCTCATAAAAATACTGCAGTATTATCTCAACTATTTAGATATTGTCAGATTGGTGATTTTTAAATAAATGTATTAATTTTGTTTTGGCAAAAACAGGAAGACACTGTTTCTCAGTTCAGCTGAAGAAAGAATTTCTTTCATTGTGCATCTTTTCAGGCTGACAAATTCCCATGAGTGGCTCAGACTTTGGAGGTATGGGTGTTTTTTATCAAGTCACCACCTCTAGATAGATTACCAGCCAAAGCTGAAGAGTTTTCTAGCTATCCATGAGCACATCAAATGTTTTTAAATTGTACATCTTGTACTTCTTTTATACTTGTTGCCAACAATGGCAAGAGAGGCCAGTCTACTCTGGTTTTAACCCATAGCTAGGGGAAGAAGAAATGGATTCCGACCTTTTCCAAGGTTAGTTGTGCTTAAGTGAACATAACACACACAGTTGAAATTCAAACACAGATTACTGATTTCTCTTTTCAAGCATTTAATTATTAGATTTTACCTGCACAATTGGTTAGAGTGCTATACTTATTGTTAAGTAATTTCTTTTAAAACAATTCTCTTCAAATCCGTGACAAATATTTCCTTTATGATAAAGTTTATATTCATATTTACTATTTTTTGTAAGTTATTGTAATCCAGACATTGTCAATTTGCATCACTGGAACAGTTCTAACATTTAGTTTTTGTTTTTTCACTAAAGTTCACCTAACACAATGTTCAAGAACCACTCAATGTAGAGGGTTTCTGAATGATGTGTGTTATATGAATACAAGAAAAGGTAGAAGGAATTGAAGATTATGAGTATAAGGAGGATAATGGCCCTTAAATTGAAGAGGTTAAGTTGTAGTGTTCAGGAAAGCATGCTGAGGTGGTGTCTGTTTGGCAAAGTAGCCGTCCTTAGGAAAAAGTTGTCTAATTGGAATATTTGATTTACTATTGGAATATGAAGGAAATGTGGATGATTGACTTCTATGGAAGTAGTATAGCATGTCTTAGCTGGTGGAATTAAAGAGTTGAGTTCATCTTAATATTTACCATAGAAATAGCAATAGAGTAGCAACAAGCATATGATGTTGTGTCTGGAAAAGAGACTCAGTTTGTAGATAATTCATCCTCCACAAAAAGATGAAAATAATTTTTGATCATTAGGCTTTGACTTTATTCTAACACTTAATGTCTGAATTGTAAAATTTCTCTGTCAAATGTCTTTTATCATTATTGGACACAAAGTGTTTTTGCTTTAAAATTAATCTTGGATCAAAAACAATTCATAAGATGGCTAAAATACACCTTAAATTGATTCCATCAATAATTTGCTCTTCAGATACAGCCTTTGTGTTGCTTTTGTTGTTTAGGCCAGTCTATTCTACAACCTTCTTAAGGTGTACAATCAATGAAGAAAAAATCAGTGTCTTTACTAAGTGAGTGACACAAAATAGTGGTTAATGTACTAATTGTTTCAGTTTATTCTCTGCACTATGAGGTGCACCAATGAATCTATTCAGTGTTGACATAGTTTGATAGATAATAAGATAGGATTAGGGTTATTAAGATAATCACCCTGCTTTCCTTTTTTCAAATCAATGTATTGATGATAGGGGTGGAGGCATCTATGCCGATGATAGGTATTTATAGTTAAAATAAAAATGATATTGAACCAAAAAAAATCAACAGTCCTCTACTAAATATTTCAAGAAATAAAACTCAAATCTTTCCAAAACAGAAACTATAATATAAAAATGGAAAGAAAGCAACAATGATAGTATATATCCTGGATCCATTAGAAAAATTCAGAATGTGGAATTAGTAAATACCAAACATTTGGTGAATAGAGCAGTTATAAAAAATTCAGTATAAGAAATCAGGAAACTTAATATAGAATAGCCTGTGCTAGTGATAGTTTCATCCAAACACAGCAAGTTGCTAAAAAGCCAAAACATTAACCTAAAAACTTGACTCTTGTTCTTAAATAGCCTTGTCAGATTAAAACTTTCATATGGATGTCATGCATGGCACCAAACTATATTCAGAAATATCTAAATTGTCAGCTGTAAACAACTGTTTATCAACGGTTAAAAATAACTTTGAGCAAATATAACCTGTAGGTCTGTGCAAGGACCATCCTTCTTCAAGCATTGTGGACTGGTGCTAAGGAATTAGAAACAATGAATTGTATCAAATGATAGAAACCATGGCACTTGAGGACTTTCACTGCCAGTAAGAACTAAAATGGATACCACATGTAACTCTAAGGGAAAATAATGACATAATCAAGATGTTGATATTCCACACTACTTCAAACAAAAGGTTAGGAAGGAATCCTCAGTCAGTACTGGAAAGAGCAATAGTGGATTTGAGAAACCTATTTTCCTGATAAATCTTTTTAAGAGAAAGATTTTATAACTTTCTATTTAAAGTAGTACTGGTTGCTCAGTCAATGAATGCCGGATATATCCTTATATTCCTTGAATTACCATTACCATATTGTATCAAATTAAGAGGGAAATGAAAGACAAAAGAAAGAAAAGAAAGAAAATGTATAATTATAATGAACAGCAAATTCAACAAAAAAAAAGATAGTGAAGAAAATATGCAAACTGGGTTTCATTTCTCTTTCCTAAGAAGTCAATCAAGAAAATAAAAAATAGAGAAATATTCAAAATACAGATAAAATATATACATCTATTTAAAATTAATATATTAAAAATATTGAGAATAACTTGTTCTGAGAGAATCAGTTTATATTGTGCACAGAAAGTAATTGCAACATAAATTTTATTTATTATATCAAGGATTTGTGGAGGTTATTTTTTAACAATGTCTGCTACCTCTATATATCTGTATATTAGTTTTAGGTTTATATTAGCCTTGTGGAATGATTAAAAGAAAATTCACAGTGTTGACAAATACAAAATAAATTTTTATATAAGATAATGCAGAAGGATAAGGTGAAAGTTGAAATTTCACTTGTAAAAGTCCTGGCACAAAAGTGAGTCAGAGAAAGAATCTGGGATAAAAGTATATATGCATATTCTAAATGTAGTAGCCACTTGCTAAAAAGGGTCCATATTCTTACATGTAGCAGGACAGTGTTGCTGTCTCAAGTCATCAGTTTGTCATGCAAATATTGCATTTTGGCTCTGGTTATGTTATGCAGATGGCATCATCACAGAATGGTAAAATTCATTGATTCTGGTTTTGGTTGGTTTTCTATCTGGTCATATATTCATCTAGATATCTACTTTGAAAGTGCCATTTTGCTTTTCATTGACGCATGGCCTTATATCCTAGTTTGGAAAACTTTCTGAATAGTTGATCCAAAAATTGCTTACTGGCTTGGCAATAATAAATATATATCTATTTTTGGAGATGGTGAAATTTTGGTCTCCTCATTTAT